CAAACTCACAGAAAATAAATCAAGAGACTGAAAGATACTTGATATTTAGATCCTGGGTGAGTGATTTATGTCCATGTGATAATTTCTCAACAAAGTTCTCTTTTTTAAATGTCTACTCAATAAATGTTTGAAATTATCAAGACGTAGAGAAATAATACTATAACACAATGGAGGCTTCTAAACATTCAAGTCCATGCCTGGCTCCACCAAGATGCGGAGGGATTCATTTCTAGAAGGTGAAGACACAAGTCCTACCGTCTATTTGATTCTTGGCTTTTCTACAGCACACTGCTCCTCAAGGATCTAACCAAAAAAAAAACAAACAGAGAACCCACTTCTGAGACTCACCTCACAACTCCCTGATCCTATAACGACACAGATTTAAACTTTCAAACGGAAACATCTACTCATTATTTTGTGTTCTTTTTGGTATATATTCTCTACATTGGCCCACTCTGATATTTTATTGCAGCTGTCTTAAACTATGAGCTCTAAGATAGGATTTGTTATCTGTGAGAATCATTCCATGCGGCACCCTGACATTTGTAGCCAGATGCATAATAAAGGTCTTTTCTCATCAAGCTCAAAGTAACTCCCAGAAACAAGGAACAAGGAGCCCTGGAGGGTTACCTATAAACTACAAAGAAAGGACAAAGAGAAAAGTTAATCTCCAGCACTTAGTTTTCGGTTCAAAATTAGTTACATCATATCTTATGTAGGACACTAAAGTCACAGCTTTGACACTGCACATCAATTCACTTCAGCAGAGGGCGAACTGGTTCACAACTAGAGAATGTACATCCATTTCCAATAAGCTGCTCCCTAGCTACAAGCTCTAAGTCAGAGGGGGGAAACCAGACAGTGTTTGGAGAGTTCAGGGCAAATCTATCCCTACTACGAAAAAACGTGATGCACCACCTTCATCATCACTGTGTACGAGCACGACTGGAATCCAAGTAATTCCACCCTGTGAAGTCTCCCGGCCCCGATCAATGACTGCAGACCAGTGATTTCCCAAGGACAGTCTGTGTTTAGAGCCAATTAATGAGCAAAATGGAAATAAACTCACCTGTGGGAATGTATTTCTTATTATTTTTCAAAGATGAAAACATGTATTGTCTCAAGTCTTCCATAAACGGCAGCTGCACATATATTAAACACTAATGAGAAAGAGAGGAGGTAAAAGCAGAAACCAAATTAATGGAAAAAATATAAAGGTGGTCCCAAGCGCCATGCAAGTGGTGCAACAGAAGTCAGACAAGTCAAGTCTGGTACGTGGTAAGTAAATTGCTTTGATTTCTGTTATTCACTGTTTACAACTGTGAACAGTACAAAGAATATTAAACATAAAAAAAAATACTTAAAAGAAAGACTACCAAAGAATACCTGCGAAATGTGTGACCAATACAACAAATGGAAAAGTCACAGTGACTGGAAGGCATATCGGGAAGTCAAGATATTTGCCTTCTCCTTTCCAGTTCTACCACAGAAAGTTCTCCGGGAAACAGGCGATGGTCAAGAGTCTAAGCCTGTATTTTCAACAGGAGAACCCTAAATAAACTGAATTTTTCAACGACCACAACAAAATCATACCCTTGACCTTTATCCATAGTCTTCATTTGTAAAACTAGGGGCACTCTCTATCCCCAAAAGGTTCTGCGAGGTCAAGAAGGGTGAGAACTGAGAGGTCACTGGATTGGGCAAACATAAGGTTAGAGGTAACCTTCACTAATTTGATTTAATAATAAGCTCCTCACATACTTTTATAATTTACGTTCTTTCATTACAACTGAAAGTGTGTGGTTCACAGACCAACTGCATCAGCCTTACTTGGGAATCTGTGAGAAATGCACAGTCTCAGGCAGCACGCCAGACCTACAGAATCTGAACCCCAAGTCATTCCCATGCATGTTCCCGGTTGAGAAGCACCGTCTGGAATAAAGGAACTGACAGGAAAAAATGAACAGTGAAAGAACTGTGGGTTTTACCTCATAGGCGTCCTTGATATAAGGAAGCGCCGCGCCAACCTGAGGATGAGCTCTTCTGTCATAGGCATATCGAACTACGGCCACCATGTCTAATTCATCCAAGGCGTGAATCAGGGAGGAGAGCGCTACCGCTGCTGCCTGGGAAGAGAGCCGCAGGATGAACACGGAGCCCGCGCGTGAGCCTTCCTTCCCCACACAACCCAACACAGCCAAACCGGGAGCACGCGTGCATGGAATGCACGGGCCTACCCGCGCACGGAGCCGCGCAGCACCGCAAATGTAGTCTCCTTAAGATGTTCCTAACATTTTCTTTTTTCTAGCTTACTGCACTGTAATATGGTATATAAAACATAGCAAGTGACTGTTGTTATTGGTTAGGCTTCTGGTCAAGAGTAGGCTATTCGTAATTAAGTTTTGGGAGAGTCAAAAATTATACTGGATTTTTGACTGCATGGGGTGTCAGCACCCCCAACTCTCCACCCTCCACTGTTCAAGGGTCAACCGTACTTACAAGATTGTTATCCACTTAGAAAAAGAAAGTTCTTTTGTCTTTAAGTTATACATTGTTTCTACTATGCTTACAACCTATGTTATTAGCTGGTAAAACAGCATAGCTTTATTAGCAATGCTACTAAAGAAATTTTTTATCATATCAGCAGTTATAGATTATCAGTGCGGCAAACTTCTGAGCTCTAGTGCTATAAACATTTTTATTTAGAATTTGAGTTTTGAGAAATTTTGTGCTTATCAAAATTACTCTTGGACCCTATTGTTGATAACTAGATCAAATATATAGACCGAACAGGAAAAATATTGAGTACTTGAGTACTTTTAGTGTTTCCAAAGCCTCGGTTGGAGTTACCAGTATTATAATTTGAAACTGACAATAAAATAGAAAACATTAACCTCTTTTTTCTGGATCCTTTTCATGCCAAATGTTAAAGAGGTTCTGCTAAGTCATTTCTTGGTTGTAACCAGAACCATTCGTGCCTAGTTCACAATGATTTTTGAGTCTCTTCAATATATATTGATCATGAATTAATCTTTTTTTTCCCATATTTTGGTCAGATAAATTCAGATGTATATAACAGAATACCTTTTCTTAATTGAACTACACTATAATATCTACATGATTATACAGTAAAGAAAAATAACTATACTGAGCCTAAAAAAAAAAAAAGATTGTTATCCACTTTATTCCTATTTCAGATTTTTTTTTTAAGTGCCTTCTATCCACTTCAAGGCCACACTGTATACACCTGCATTTGATCACACTTACTGTAACCTCTTCTGGAACTGTACTTCATTATGTGGCTCCTCTCTCTTATCACTTCAATCTTTCTTCTCTCAATTCATACCCTCAGACTCCAAATAAACTGCAGTCTCAGCCTTCCTAAACAAAATATTTCTTTGTCCCCCCTCTCCATTAATTACTATCTATATCTTTCCCTTCACCTCTAAATTTCATGAAATAACAGTCTTGGTGTTTTCACGGCTTACAACACAATTATTCTTCAATCTAATCCAGCTGTTGCCCTCACCTTACTGAAATTACTCTGCAAAGTCACCTATGACCTCCTAATTGCCAATCCTTGGTTCCCATTCTATTTGACCTTTCAGCAGCATCTGACCATTCCTCTTTCTCTGCACTTTCTCCTTTGGCTTCAGAAACAATACTCTCCTCTGATCATTCTACTTTGTGGGTCAGTCTTCCCCTAACTCTTCTCTTCTTCGACTAATCTTGAAATTCTGTTCTTGGCCTTTCTCTCCTCTCACTCTGAAACTCTACTTGGGAATTATTTTATCCAGTCCCATGAGTTGATGAATCAAAAATCTGTATATTCAGCTTTAAAACTCTCCTAGGATCTAGACTTATATTGCCTACTAGCTGGTAGTATACCACAGGTATCTCAAACTGTTCATGACCAAAACTAAACTACCATCTTTCCCCCATTCTCCTCCAGTACTCCCTACCTCATGAACTCCACCTCCCAATCACCCAAACGAGAAGACCTCAAGTCTTCAGTAATGCCACCTGACTCATCCCTCGCCTTCAAGTGTTCACCAAACTTTACTAATTCTACCTCTGTGCTATCTCTCCAATCTATCTCTTCCAACAATACCTCTCCAGTTCACAGAGCTGATCATGTCATCCCCTTACGTAAGAAACTCCAATGGTTCAGGGCGCCTGGGTGTCTCAGTCAGTTAAGTGTCTGACTCTTGATTTTGGCTCAGGTCCTGATCTCAGGGTCATGAGACTGAGCTCCGCATTGGGATCTTGCTCAGTTGAGATCTTGCTCAGCACAGAGTCTGCTTGTCCCTCTCCCTCCCCCTGCTCAAGTGCATGTGCCCACCCTCTCTCTGTCTTTCAAATAAATAAAAAATCTTTAAAAGAATCTCCAGTGGTTCCACTATCCCAGCCTCAGTGAGCTGACCATTATTCCTGGACAAATCTTGTACTTTCCCTCCTCTGTAGCTTTCTGCTCTTACAATTTCCTGCTAGCTAGAATGCCCTCTCCACATCTCTGTCTCTTGAGCTTCTAACCTATTTTCAAGGCCCAGTAAATTGATACCCTTGCCATTTTAGATTTGCTTTAGTCTCTCCCTCTCCATAAGTCCCCAAACACATTGTCTGTACTTTTCTCAGTATTATAGTTAACCGTTATCCAAGTTAGCAATGTATATTTTCATTTCCTACACCAAAAACCTATGACCTCAATATTTGTCTTCAAAATCCTCTATGGGTTTAGTGGCAGATTCATTACCTTTTTAGTTCAATTCAAGGAATATTTACTTAGTGCCTGCTCTTTGCTACACACTGTCTTAGGCCCTGTAAGAAAACAAAGATGAGTCCCTGATCTCACTGAGCTAATACATTCTTTACTAGTAGAAGTGAGATATGTACCAAATACAGAACATGTACAGTCTAACAAATCCCATTGGAGAGACCAGAGAAACACAATGGGAGTCTGAGGATGAGATTACTTCCAATTTGTTTGCAAATTTCTATCTGGGTGTCTCTGATAGAACCAACGGGATATTAAAGGAAGCAAGGATGGGGATGACTGTGACATTATAAACACAATGCTACACCTGCGGGAAACTCAACTAAAGCTCCATTTCCTTCCCTTCTTTATCTCCTTCTCCTCCACACACAGTAGAAATCATATACACGTGTAGATTCTCTATACAAAAAAATAATTGCATGCTAATGATCAGAGAAAACATGTTTTTAAAAGGAATTATTCACAGAATCATAGAATATTTGAGTTGAAAAACAACAGTATTCATCTAATTTAACCACCCACATGATGATGAAATTCCCTCCCCCAAGTCTGGCTAGTGCAAATAAAGACTCTGCTGGGAAACATTCAGGAATGGAGACCTGACCATCTCACAAGAAACCAATCCACCTGGAGGTAATAACCATTGTTAAGAAAAATAATTCTTCATTTTGAACAAAACTACCGCCTATTGGTAGGAAACCTAATTTAATTTCTATTCCACATGATAATTCTCTAATGTATGAAGGGGGCTATTATGTCTGATGTCCCTCCTACTTCCCTACCTACCTACGAAGTTTTCTTGGAAGTCATCACCTGACATAGTTTCCTTGCTCCCCTGCCTATCTTAGAAGCTCCAATTATTAGTATTATCCTTTGACTAGGACATCAAGAATGACACCAAAGAGTAGCCCTTTGCCATTAGTAGATAATTTTTTTTTTTCCCTTGAGTGACCTCAAAGTAACCCAGTGATCTATAGGGTCTGTATGAGGTTGGGTTGGAATTATGCATGCACAAGGCTGGCCTTAGTTAGCAAGTCTAAATAATCACATAGGCTGTAACATAAAGCTGTCGACAAGAGCATACCAGCAATCACATGAAGTGATCAGAATTTTCTCTGTGTGAAGGAACAGTAAGTTGGAGTTAAAATTCAGTTAAAATGCTGTTAAGCTATGATGACAATATACACTACAAATGTATAATTCCCAAGAGGACTTGACTCAGGAAAAATCCATGAACGAGGATTCTCATGTAAACTAGGATTCACATAAGCCTACTATGCTCTGACTGAATCCATTCAGTACTGATGGGAAACAAAGCAATTCTCCTAAATTAACTCTTCCAATAAAATGGCACCCCTATTCACTAGATCAACAGCCAGAAGTGAGGAGAAAAAGCAGAAAAGGGGACTAAGCGGACTAGATCACTTTTACCTCCGCCCTCCCCGCATCCCAAACAAGCCTTTTACATCCAGTTTACTAACTTCAAACGCAAATATACTTCTGGAACTTGGATCCCTGCTTACGTAGTCTTAAGCAGATACGAGACTGCAATATTCCAGTAAAGTTCAACATCTCCACATGACAAGTTCCAACTCGGAGGCTGAACAGGAAATATTTACAGAGAGGGCAGATGTTACTGTAGGATGCAATGGTCATGGGTTGTTAGGCAAAAACCAGCCTGAAAACTGAATCTCCTGGGGAGGTGCGAGAAGAGTACAAAGAAAGAGGGAAGGGGACAAAGACGAATTTCTAGATGAGGGAAGTGGCCCAATAAAACACTAAAGCTTATCTCCAGGATGCTAAAGCCAGTGCTAAATGTTCAGTGCTTAATGACAATGAAAATGTCAACCTGACCCCAAGCCTCCTCAACATTAAACCAGGGGATTCCCACACCTAAATGCATTTGTTCAAATGTTTTTGTTTTTAATACGCACCTGGTCTCCAGTGGCAGGACTATGTCCTTGGGCCTTGTGCTCATGCTATGACAAATTCATTTATCACTTCTCCATTTTCAGAGTTAAAGCTCAGTGAACTTTCCCACTGTTGTTGCAAGAATTAACGTCATTTTAAACCATAAAAGCCCCAAACAACTCACTTAAAATGACAATTCAATTCTGTGGCACTACCTCAAAGGCCCACTGTCAACTCACCTCATCATCTTTTGCTGCAAAGACCTTTAGGACTTGATTTCCCATAAAATATCTCCTGTGGACCTACAAGAGTTAAGTGAGGAAAACAATTGGTTTTGACCCAAATAAGTAACACTGATAGCCGTAACGCCACAGTTACTAAGAAATTCTATTCAAAATGGTCTTAGTAAAAAACATTCATAGGGACTAGAAACACCTTATTATTTGAGGTTCAATTCAATTAAACACAATACATATCTGAATTCCAAGTATATGTCAAACATTGTTCTGAGCACTGAAAACACAATAATGAACAGGATATAGTCTTGTCCTAAGGAGCTTAGACAAATATGAAACTGCACTGCAGTATTAGGGTACAGCACTACAAAAGCACAAGAGTGCAATATTCTAGCTCGGGGCTCCGAGAGCACATAAACAGGGCATCCAGCTTGGTCAGGGCAGGCTTGACACCTAGGTCAAGACTTAAAGGATGCACAGGAACAAAGAGAAAAGTCTCGCCCAAGTGTGCTGGGCAGAGATACTAGTGTGAATTAAGTCTGGAATGACATAAAAACATAGTACCTTTGGGGAACTGCTTTTGGAGTAGGTGCAGTGCCCTAGTATGAGGGGAGAGGTGAAAAATTAGATTAGCAAAGATCAAATCATGAAGTGTCTTATGAACAAAGTTAAGCGGCTTAGACTTCATCCCAAGAGCAAAGACGAGGCACTGCCAAATTGTAGAGACCAGAGTGAAGAACTAATTAGGGGGGCGGGGGCCACACTGGAGGAGGGGAGACTAGTGAAACCAACAATAAGTACTGCAAGTCCTTCTGTCCCCCTTTTAGTTCCATTACTTCTCTGGCAGGGTAGGAGAGGGGTCAAAGCAGCTCCACCGATACCTGATTAGAAATGAAGACTGCAGGGTTCCTAGCATCATAACCAACTACCTGCATCTATTGACCAAGATCAACTTCTCTCCGCTCCCTGTAATCTTGAGCCTGGAGCTTATCTGTAAGAACATGCCATGTGCTGAACAGGGCAATGCTCCTCAAGTGTTCTTCTGCCCTCCTACCTCTGAGGCCAAGAAACTGAGCACTTTCAGAATCACAGCAGCTCCAGAAGATGGAGTCTCAAAGGTGTGGGGGTTTGGCCCACATACTTCAAATGCCCTCCATCTCTACTGCCAGTCCCCATTTGAAAACTATTATTTAAAGATATATGGGAATAATCCCATATTAAAACTACAAAGTTTGCTACATTCATATAGATTTGCCCTCCTATTAGAATCTGTAATGGTTCTTGATTGATGAAAGAACAGTTAATTATATTGTTTCCTAACACACTTAAATGACTTCTCAAAGGACAACCAGACATCTGGGAGAAGTTCTGGCTAAATTCTTACCCATTCTACAATTAGGTACCCAGAACAATGACAACTTGGAGGAAGACAAATTGAAAATTTAAGAGAAGAATAATTTGCAATTACACAATTAAAAAACAAAACAAAAACACCAAGATCAAAAACCTATTTCATATAGGGCGCCTGGGTGGCTCAGCCGTTAAGCGTCTGCCTTCGGCTCAGGTCATGATCCCAGGGTCCTGGGATCGAGTCCCACATCGGGCTCCCTGCTCGGCAGGAAGCCTGCTTCTCGCTCTCCCACTCCCCCTGCTTGTGTTCCTGCTCTCGCTATCTCTCTCTGTCAAATAAATAAATAAAATCTTTAAAAAAAAAAAAAACAAAAAACAAACCTATTTCATATAATAAAAATGCTCGCATCAATTCAATCCAGAAATGTTAGTTTCCCTCACTTTAAGGGAGGATGGAAAAATATGTGATCTCATTAAAGATAATTACTAGTCTACTAAAAGGTGTGTGCTTAGTTGCTATGGAAAACACCTTGCTCTTAAAAAAATATGTATGGTCTTCAGAAAGTTGAAAGTAAAGCTACCCTACAACCCAGCAATTGCACTACTGGGTATCTACCCCAAAGATACAAATGTAGTGATCCGAAGGGGCACCTGCACCTCAATGTTTATAGCAGCAATGTCCACAATAGCCATACTATGGAAAGAACCCAGATGTCCATTGACAGATGAATGGATAAAGAAGATGCGGTGTGTACACACACACACACACACACACACACACAATGGAATACTACTCAGTCATCAGAAAATGAAATCTTGCCATTTGCAATGTCATGGATAGAACTAGAGGGAAGTATGCTAAGCGAAATAAGTCAATCAGAGAAAGACAATTATCATATGATCTCACTTATATGTGGAATTTAAGAAACAAAACAGGATCATAGGGGAAGGGAGGGGAAATAAAACAAGAAGAAATCAGAGAGGGAGACAAACCATTAGAGACTCTTAACCACAAGAAACAAACTGAGGGTTGCTGGAGGGGAGGGGGGCGAGGGATGGGGTAACTGGGGTCATGAACATTAAGGAGGGCATGTGATGTAATGAGCACTGGGTATCATATAAGACTAATGAATCACTGAACTCTACCTCTGAAACTAATAATATACTATATGTTAATTAAATTTAAATTAAGAATAAAATGGAAAAAAATAAACACCTATCAGAATGGTTAAAATAAAAAAAATAGCAATGGTGCCAAATGCTGACAAGCATGTGGAGAAACTGAGTCACTCACCCATTACTGGTGGGAATATAAAAGGGCACAGCCACCCTGGAAACAATTTGACAGTTTTTGAAGAAACTAGGCATTTAGTTTTCTTACAAAACTGAACAGTTTTCTTTTAAAACTAAACTATTACAAAATTTAGCAATTGCAGCCTTGGGCATTTATCCCAGAGAAATGAAGGACATTATACAAAAGCTGGTATTCAAATGTTTATAGCAGCTTCACTCATAATAGCCAAAAACTGGGAAAAACATGTCCTTCAGTGGATAACTGGTTAAAAAACAAAACAAAACAAAAAAACCTATGGTAAACCCATACCTAGGAATATTACTCAGCAATAAAAAGAAACAAGCTTATCAGTACACACAATAACCTGGATGAATCTCCAGAGAATTATGCTGAGTGGGAAGAGCCAGCCCCCAAATGTCACATACTGTATGATTCTGTTTATATGCCTTTCCAAAGTGACAAAATTATAGAACTGGGGAACAAAGGAGTGGTTTCCAGGGATTAAAGAGGGGATGAGGGTGTGAGAGAAGTGGGCATGGCCCTAAAAGGGCAACAGGAGAGATCCTTGTGGTGATGGAATGTTCTGTATCTAAGCTGTATCAATGTCAATATCCTGGTGGTAGGATTGCCTTATAGTGTTCAAGATGTTACCTTTGGGAGAAACTAAGTATGGGGTACACAGGATCTCTCAGTATTATTTCTTACAACTGCATGTGAATCTAATTGTCTCAAAATAGAAAGTGTTTTTTAACCAATTAATGAATTTTAAAGAGATATGTATGCATTTCTTAAGATAATATATGAAAGCAGGGATGAAAACCAAACCAGTCAAAAAAACCAGCTTGTCCGCCTGGTGGGCAAATTACAAGTGACTGATTAATGGCATAGGCTCTTAAGTCAGAGAGACCCGCTTCAAAACCAATCCTACCACCTTCTAGCTGTGACCTCAGACCAATCACATGCTCAGTTTTCGAATGTATAAAATATATTATCATGGCACCTATCCAGGAGGGTTGTAATAAGAATTAAATGGGAATTCACATAAAATGCTTACTGTATTGAATTGAATATTACAATCACTCAATAAATGGTGACATTATGATTATCTTTATTGTACCCGTCTGAGATTTTACGTAAGATAAATACAGAGCTTAAAAACAACGTAAGTTGATTTAGAGGACACGTCATGACTTAAAAGTTAATTTTAAGTTAACAGAATCTTTTAAAATGGAAAAATGTATTTTTGTTCAGCTCACTCTTTTTTGCTTTGTCATTTAACTAAACAGGCCCCCCCATTCCCACCCTGGCACAGGTGACTTCAGTTATTTGGGTCATGAATTTCGGATCAGTTGTTTTGGATAGGTCTTTTCGAGCTAACTGGAATTAGGCAGACCCACTTCCCAACAGGCCAGTTTTTACACACAGGCCTGAACGAAGGTTCTGCTTCACTGGAAAGACTTAGGGGCACTGCCATTAACAACCGTAAGTTTTAAGTCTGTAGAACTCCCAACGTGAATACTTTTATTTTTAAGAAATATATATTTAGTGTAATTTGTTAGAGAATTGTTAGAAACTCTCAACTTCCAAAAAGTATCTATTTTCACCATTAAAATCTTACCAACTTTCAGTAAGTACTCCCAATTTCCAGCTTAAGAAGTTTAAAAACATATCCAACAGTTTGGGCATATCATGGAAAACATCTCCCCACCCTCGCAGAATTATTCTAACACCAAAGTACAAAGGGACTATACCCCAGAGCAACACGACGAAGCTCAAATCCAGTATACTGGTTAATATTTATGTTCATTACAATTCTCACTTGAATTTCTTTGGAACCAACAAACATTGCTTTATCCCTATAGAGCCTTAGAAAAGATACGCTACAGGATATGCTTATTCATTTTCTCTGGTTGCCTACCTTAAGAACATTTAATCTAAGATCTCCAGGAATCTTTAATAACCCTTTCTAGAATAGTATATGCTATCCCATGGCCCTCAGTGAATTACTGCATTTCCCGCTATGTGTTTTATGTATCTCTGCATCGGTGTCTAAAGAATGTATGACTTAAGGACAGGCTTCAGATCCTAGACCTCTTTGTTGGACGTTAAGAAGGGTGACCAGCATAAACCAATGATATTCTACGAGGCCTGGTGTCATTCAAAACCCAAGTAGACCTTCATTCCTCTAAAACACTCTATTATACATAAGTTTAGAGAAAGCAACACAATAGCAAAGAACTGAATGATGTTTAAGGCTGTGTGAGCTATGACCGAGAGCCAAGCTAAGAAGTGACTCTCAATGGAATATATTCTGATTCATGCTAAGACTTCTCGACTTTTCTACATCTTGGCTTCTCTATTCAAAAACTGAAGATAGTTAACACTAATCCCCAGACTACATTCAAAAAAACTAAAAGTCAAATAAATACACATTGTAAATAAAAGGACCAATCGAAAGCATACCCTCTCAAATAATAGTAAGAGAAAAGTTCATTTCTTTTGTTGACAACGAGTAAAGTAAGTGCTATACCTGAGAAGATCTACAAAATCCCAAAACGGAGAAGCACTTCCCCTCCGATTTATATTTCATGTGTTCCTCATCCACTTTAGAGAAAGGAACAATATCACTTCCATAGCGGAACCCTAGAGAACAAGAGAAGAGCATTTGTTAAGCATATGGGGCCTCATTTTCTACAAGCTGAAATTAGCCCTACCCATACATTAACAATACACACGTACTCCAGATCAAGCCTCCATATACTGTTCCCTGGAATCAAATTACTGCCCCTTGTGATCAGTGGGGAAAAAGCAGCAGCAGATACACAAACAACATACACAGTACAGAGGCGATTAAAATCTAATTACATTTTTTAAGTAGCATCTTCTGCAATCTAGTTACCTTAATGATTATCTAGCCTAGAAGAAAGAATGTAGCAAATGTAATGTACCAGTTATCCTCCAAAGATAAACTATAGTTGACTAAAGTACAAGTGTGATTTGTAAACATAATAACAAGAACACATTTATTCAGAAACCTGGAGACCCACAGAGAAAAATGCCCAAAGGAAATTTTCAGAATAAAATGTTCTCCAAAATGCATGCTGGAGACATACAAATGCCTAATGGGAGAAGCCAAAACTCTTATATTTAGGAACATTCAATTGATAAGTTGGCTATTTTTCTGCATTTAAACCTACTTCATTTCTGGGATTATATTATCTGTTTTTTTTCTTCTTAATTACTTTGGTTATTCATACAAATACAGGCTCTCAGTTTCTTAAAAATAACTCCAGTCCTGTTCCAGCGCCTCTGTTCTATGGAAAGTCATGCTCTTTCAATACACAGTCTCCTGTATTTGGTGGGAAGAACGATCATCAAATTCCAAGGATTCTGGCCTTGGGTAAATGGAAAGGAAAAGCATGCGCAACTTTACTCCAAGAAACAAAGAAACTTGTAAGTTTGGGGTAGATTCTGTGATCCAGTTTATCTGTTCCTGTCAATCTGTTAATGCCATGCATTTAATTAAAAAAAATATATTTGTATTTTCATATATGTCTTTTAAAAAAGCTGGTGATGAAAACAAAAACTCCAACAAAAAATTATCAGGGAGGGGCGCCTGGCTGGCTTAGTCGGTTAAGACTCTGAAGTAGGGCAGTCCTGGGTTCGAGTTCTGCCAGTTGCTAGCTGCACGACTTTGAATACGTGAATGAGTGTCTTTCAGCCTCAATTCTCTCATCTGTAAAATGGAAACAAGAGTGGGATGCCTGTTCCATGAGGCTGTTGTGATGATTAAAAGGGAAAATTCAGGTCGTCTATGGGATACTGTTCCCAAGTACTAAACTGTGTATGCCCGACACACCAGCCCAACTACCTGCTGTCACTGAGAGGCTCTCTACTTTCCTGGTCTTATGCATTTAATCATGCTCTTCTTCCTTCAGACATTATAGGAGGATCATATGATTAGTAACTGATGGAGCTATGATTCTAACCCAGGTCTGACTCCAAAACTCACCTTCTTGACTACACTACAATACAGAATTGAATTAAAGAATTAGTAGGGATTGCAGGATACTGATTACATTTTCTATTCGTAATCGATCAGGAGAAAGGAAGGAATTGCAACCATCAGCGCCTTAACCAGTCTCCCCCACGCCCACATACATATATACACAAACATCGAGATTTAGTGCCACAGACAAAAGGCATTTTTTTTCAAGGCTTGCAAATTAAAATTATACTGGGAAGCACAAAGCCTGGCAATGAATTTATCTAAAGACTCTAGTTTCTATCTTAACCATCTTGATACCTCGTAATTTTAGCTCTTGAAAATTCAGACACTCTAGGCTAATTTGTAAGCCCTCTGGATAGAATTGCCCTCTAGACACACTACACAGATCAAATGGGTATCACACATGAAGTACAACTGTAAACATCCTAGTGAACATAAAGCCATATAATGGACACAAATGTGTATGATCCCCTAAATTACCCGAAGGTAGCACAGCTGGCAAGATTCCTAAGACCTGAAATAGGCACTCAGAAGAATAATCACCATGGAAGTAAGACGTGAAACAGAGTAAACAAAGAAACCTGCTTCAGCCACATTAATAGAAGTATTCTCTTAGCTAGTATGTTTCAAACTTTAAAATAAAACCAAGTATTAAGTCCTGTCACTGGAGGACATGTCAAACTCAGATGGAGTACCCAAGCAGATCCTGCCTCAGACGCGACAGATGAGCTCAATTTAGGACCTAGTGCCTCATGGTCCCTCCCATGGTCATGTCTCCAGAACTCAGAAAAACATCTGCCAACACTACCAGTACAAACCCGAGTCTGCCTCCCACCGCCCGGAAGCAGCTGTCTCACGGGCGCACCTTGAATAGTGTCCTCCTTCGGGACCTCGGTTTCATTGTCATCATTTAAGCAATAAACGGTTTCTTTCTGTAGATCTTCTTTCTTGAGGGTTCTGGCGTCCACAACTGTCCAAGACTTTTTAACTCTCTCCTGTATAATCTTAATTCCAAAAAGAAAGGGAAAACAAGGAAAGCCAGGATTCTAATCAACAAAAAATGAAAACCCCATACATTCTCTGCTTTATAGGAAAAAAATCTGTAATAATTACTCTAGCTAAACTGTTCTGTTTGCTCTTATCCACTGTGGAAATTTTCACTTATTTCATAACTCCTGCTGCGTTTCACTTTTTCCCCGAAGGTAATCCACAGATAAATATTCATATTTGTATATACACAAGCACCTTCTATACAAAACCTTCAGACTCATAAAATGGGACCACACATTTTTACTACAGTTTTCCAATAGAAAAGAAAGGGAGAGCCATCTATCAGGGGCCAGAGCTCAATAAGGAAATCCAAAAAGAAAACTAGAAAAAAAGAAGAGGAGGGATGCCTGGGTGGTTCAGTCAGTTAAGCGTCTGCCTTCGGCTCAGGTCATGATCCCAGGTTCCTGGGATCAAGTCCCACATCGGGCTCCCTGCTCGGTCGGGAGTCTGTTTCTCCCTCTGCCTGCCGCTCCCCCTGCTTGTGCTCGCTCTCTCTCTGCCAACTAAATAAATAAAACCTTAAAAAAAAATTAAAAATCTCCTTTAAAAAAAAAAAAAGGAGATGACTGTATTCCAGGCTTGATGGCGGCTGAAATAAAGAAGTACCTCCAAGGTTTTCATGGATGGAGCATGTGTTTTAGAATTAAGTCCCTGAATATATAAATACATGTTTTTGTGTATTTTCTATATTTAAATGTTTGTATGTATTTAGTTTATTCATTTTTTTTAAAGATTTTATTTATTTATTTGAGAGAGAGAATGAGAGAGAGAGACAGCACAAGAGGGGGGAGGGTCAGAGGAAGAAGCAGACTCCCTGCTAAGCAGGGAGCCCGATGTGGGACTCGATCCAGGGACTCCAGGATCGTGACCTGAGCTGAAGGCAGTCGCTTAACCAACTGAGCCACCCAGGCACCCTAGTTTATTCATTTAAAGAAAACAGGCAAGAAGGGTCACATGGAGGCATAGTTCACAGACTCCTACTCAAACTGCAATTTCATCAAATAATTACCAAAAGCAACTTATTTTTGAAAGTGTGCTATTATGTACAAATATAGACTACAAAAGGCAATTTCACAGTCACAAGTCAATAGTTTTTGATAGTTCACAGATGCTGTTGCCACCAGATTGTTAACTGAACTGGGTGAGACTGAGTTTTAAAAACTCTGGACTTCTTTAGTATATGTCTATATTTCTGCTATGATACTACAGTGATATGACTTCATGCATTCCATTTTCTCTCTTTTAAAAAAGAAAAAAAAGGGAGAGGAGGGAATCAACCTGGATTACAGATGATTCTTAAAACTTTCTCTCCTAATATGCCTTTTACATAAAAAAGCTAAATAGAGATGAACAGGGAGAGCAGTTAGGCAATAATTGGTACTGAATAACCCACAAATGAATTGTCAGTTCCCTATATAAGCATATTTGCCTGCCTGGTGCATTGCTTTATTTTTTTTTTTTTTAAGATTTTTTTATGGGGCACCTGGGTGGCTCAGTCGGTTGAGCATCTGCCTTCGGCTCAGGTTATGGTCTCAGGTCCTGGGATTGAGCCCCACATCGGACTCTCTGCTTGGTGGAGAGTCTGCTTCTCCCTCTCCCTCTGCCTGCCATTCTCCCTGCTTGTGCTCACTCTCTCTCTGTGTCAAATGAATAAATAAAATCTTTAAAAAAAAAAAGATTTTATTTATTCATTTGACAAAGAGAGAGTGAGCACAAGTAGGGGGAGCAGGAGAGGGAGAAGCAGGCTCCCCGCTAAGCAGGGAGCCTGATGCGGGGCTCGATCCCAGGACCCTGGGATCATGACCTGAGCCGAAGGCAGATGCCCAACCGATTGAGCCACCCAGGCGCCCCTGGTGCACTGCTTTAAAAAATATGTGTGGGGGGCGCCTGGCTGGCTCAATTGGTAGAGCATGCAACTCTTGATCTCTGAGCTATGAGTTTGAGCCCCGTGTCTGGTGTAGAGATTACTTAAAAATAAATTTAAAAAATTTTAAATTGAAAATGTGTATGTACCACTTACCGATTTATAAGCCACGATCTTTATAAACAAACTGGAGCCAATGGTCAGTGTGCAGGACCAAGGGACGGAACGCTTCTCAATTTTCTTAAAGACACACAGTTGTCTCAGACTCTCACTTAATAAAAAAATATATAACTCTCACTTAATAAAATATATATATTTTATACATATAATGGAAAAAACATATATAAGGGAAGCAACAATTTTAAAACATTAACTTTGCTGGGTGATGCAGTTAATTTTCTAGAATGAGAAGTGAGTTGTCGTTGATCATAATGAGAGGAACAGCAAGGGACAGCAGGAAAATGACAACCACAAGTTGGGAGAGAGCCAGAATACAACTGAGTTGGCTTAGGAGAAAGAAGTTGAATTACATTACAGGTGAAAAAGAACATCTCTATCTTCCCCTACTCAATCTTTTCTTTCAACTCAGCCCGTGGTTGTTAACATTTTTTTCAAGACCAAGGACATTTTGAAGATATGATAAAAGCACAATCATAAGAGTTTGCCCACAATTTAAAGGGTTCACCAACTCCTGAAAACCATGGACCTGGGGATAAGAACCCCTGGCTCCAGGATATCAAAGGGTAAGTACCATCCCAAAATATCACTGCTCATAACTCTACAATTTATTATTTAATTCCAATCACCTTAAATAAAAAGCACATATATGCACACAATGGAGAGCGTTAAATAAAGACTCTCCAGGGAATAAAGGAATTTAGTCCATACTTAGTCTTAAGGTAAAGCAGATAACTAGGTTTTTTTTTACTGGACGGAGAGGGGAAATCGGGAAGTAACAAACACAATGTAGAGTGCTACTTTATTTGAACATAAATGAAGATCAATTCTATTTTTATCTGGTCCCTAATCAAACACAACAGAGAAGATTATAGGAAACAGTTAGAATTTGTTGTAGTCACTAAGAAAGGAACCAATGACCAAACACATTCAAAGCATATATTCCAGGGACGCCTGGGTGGCTCTGTCGGTTAAACATCTGCTTTTGGCTCAGGTCATGGCCCCAGGGTCCTGGGATCAAGCCCCGCATCAGGACTCCTTGCTCAGCGGAGAGCCTTCCTTTCCCTCTGCCTACTGCTCTCCCTGCTTGTGCTCTCTCCCTCTCCCTCTCTCTGGTGAATAAATAAAATCTTAAAAAAAAAAATCCAGACCATGATCAATCCCCTTGGTACAGATGAAAAATAGATCTACAAAGAGGTAAAGAGAATTATCTACATTATCCAAAGTTATGGACAAAAAAGGTTTCAAAAGACTCCAATTTTCAGAAATAATCTATAACAAACAGTAGAAGTCTATGGAAATAAATAAACAAACAAACAAACAAATAAATAAAACAGAGTTTATTCCTTGGCTTTGGACTTGTTGGGGAATGAAGGGGTCTGAACCAGATCTAACCTATCCATAGGACATCACTAGTTTGAGTCCCATCTAAAACTACTGTGAGGTCTGAATTCAGTTCAAGGAGAAGTTCTGAAGATTAGCATCTAATACATAACATCTGAGAGCAAATGGATCATTTCCGCAGTCGACCTGAATCTCCCCAAGCAGAAGTCTAAATCAGGACAAGTATGGCTCAGCGCTGTCCAGTACAACTTTCTGCAATGATAGAAATGTTCTATTTCTAACCGTTCCTGTCCAAAAGGCTGCTGAGCACATGAAATGTGGCTAGTGTCCAAGGGACTAAATTTTTAATTTTATTTAATTTTAATGAATTTAAATTTAAATAGCCATATGTGGATAATGGCTATTGTATAAAATGAAAGTATCTTCAAATTGTGAGGACAATACACAATAATTTGTCTCCTGGCTGTGACATAGGAAAATAAACTTTTTTAACATTAATTTGTTTGGCCTACAATTTTCATTCATGATATCATGGTGAATTTGTTAGTTTAAGACCTACATTCTCACATTAGAGCAAGCCACGTCCAAATCTGAAAGAAGTAAGTTAGAAACGCATATTTGCATATATTACAGTAAGAACACATATTATGACAAGAAACGTCACTTTACAGGATTCCTCACTGATTCCTTTTCCAACCCCTAGGGAAACTACCATTCAATTTGTAAAATTCCCATTACCTACAATTTTTCAAGGGTGTATATATTTAGAAAATCAGGATGTACTATTTGTCAGTATTTCTTGTAATATATTATAAATAAAAATTTTAAAATTGTGGTTGAGAAAAAAATTGGGGCATATGTCACTTAACTACTCAAAAATATCTTAATTGTTGAACTTTTATTTCAGTGAAGAACTTTGCTCAAAACGCCTGTATTCTGTGTATTTATTGATGAACAAGAATTAACTCATGAACATTAAGTGGTATTATCCTGCAGAACATGAAATTCCACAAACCACGCTGCAGTGTTCTCTTGCCACTTCTCCCAAGTCAGGCCCCTCAAACACATACTGTCCTGGATGCTACAGACTCCTCTTGGGTTCTTTGCTCAGAATAAGTGCATGTCCAATTCCAATCAAGAATACTAACCCAGAGAGGAGAGAGTCTCTCCCATAGTCTCTAACTGAATGGTTGCAAAGGCAGTTTGCTTTATTGTTAAATGGTACTTCAGGGATTTCACATTTCTTAAATTGTTTTGCCTTTACAAAACCCACATAAAAGATGTAAATTATAAATTCTTTACATTTTGGATGTTTTGTTCTGTTCTGTCTGAACAAACTATTTTGTGACCAAAAATTTTTAAAAAGTCTTTCTATTACAGTTAAGTATACTGTCTCCTAAAACCTAAATCAGAGGATAAGAGGATACTATGTATTTCAGATCTGACATCACTTTTCATAATTAGGAATGTATTTTATAGGTGAATGAAAAGAAAGGACCCAGGAAATGTGCCCCAAACTTGGCATAAAGAAGAAATCTACTATCTCATTTTTTACGACTTGTTAAATCTTTTGCGGTATCTATACATTTCTAAACCTCATACACACTGTCCTAGAAATAAACCGGAAGTCTTGTTCCAACCACACAAACTTAAAAAGGGGGATCGGGGGTTGGTACACCATTTCTTCAATAAAAATCAGAACATTCATTGAAGAATGGCAGCTAATTCAAGAGTGGCTAATTAGGGAGTCCCCTGATCAAAAGAGAAATTTACATGGTCACGAGTGAAAGTTGCAATCAATGTTTTCACTTCTTACCTGAAGGAATAAATTTCATCTAGCCCATCTTCACCTTCTAAAGACATCATCACCTTTTTCACCATCCGAATACCTTCTTTTTGCTGCTCAGTAATTCCTTTTAGAGGAAAGGAGGGTCCATGGTGGTCTGAGCGTGAGTTACCATCTCCCCTGTCCCCGGTTCCATCCTCCTTGCCAACGGGGAAAGGCAAACTATCAGGAAAAAAATCAGCAGTATTTAAGAAGACAAACTCTGAAACCAAAAAATAAACTGGGCTCCAATCCTGTGACTGTCGCTCACTGGCTATGAGAAAATGGGCGTGTCGGTCATCAGAGCTTTATATTCCTCATCTGTCAAATGGCGCTTATCAACCTTAGTCAATATTCTATCAGTTTCAAGTGACCAAAGCCTTTTTGGCTTGGTAAAAGGGGGAACTTACTGGTTTATATAACCAAATAATTGAAAGTGCAGGGTTGCACATGGCCTCAGGATCACTGGACCCAGTCTCAAACACCTCAAGGACTACCTGACCCTCTCACTGTCTCGGTGTTGTCTCCATGTGCCTTCGTGCCGGCTTCACTCTCTGACTGGCTTCCTCCACATCGCCTGAGTGCACTCGAGCACACACTGCCCAGCTCTACTACCAAAGAGAATGGACTGAGTATTTAATACTATACTCTAGTCTCAAATTCAAACAAGCCGGGTATCAGTGGTAGCCTGGGGACTAGAAGATGTTGGCCCTCAGTCGAGTCATGAGGTTAAAGTGTAGGAAGGATTTCTTCCTAGAAAAAGGTGGGTGATATTCCAGGCAGCCAAAAAGAATAATAATAAAAAATAAAATACACTTTAATGATCCCTCAATGTTATTATGAAGATTAAATCACAGAATGTGTACAAAATACTTAAAACTCAAATAATGTTACCTTTATTACTGTAGATCTAGAATTCCCATACAGACATCACTTAATTGCTGGAAATAGGGCAAACCAATTTTGTTCTTGTGTTCCACTCCAGTTGTTTGAAATGAGACTAAAACTAGATCGGGATTACCAGTCACGGAGATATTCAATAATCAATATACAAATTGAAAAATCAACCAAACACACTTTATGGTAATATTCTATATGGCTCTTTATAAATGCCTTCATGCAAACAACCTCATTTAATCCTATCTATTAGGTGGATAGAGATTTCTACCTCCATTTCCTAAAAAGCAACTGAAGCTACAGAGACGAACTAATCTGGCCAAGCCACACAGCCAGTGAGTGACACAGCAAAGACTGTCACCTGACTGAAGGACAAAGACCTTTCCAAGGCAGCGTATCACCTCACTGCCCCTGAAACCCAAACAGTAGACTTTTCAGTTCACTCAACATCACCTATTGGTCACCCCTATGTGGATGGTTATTTTTAAGGTAATTTCTTTACCATTTGATTTGCTATCATTAAAATAGCGCTCCCTGGGGCGCCTGGGTGGCTCAGTCAGTTAAGCATCTGCCTTCAGTTCAGGTCATGATCCCAGGGTCCTGGGATTGAGCCCCACATCGGTCTCCCCACGTCGGTCTCCCTGATCAGCTGAGAGCCTGCTTCTCCCTCTCTCTCTGCCTACTTGTGCTCTCTATCTCTCTGTCAAATAAATAAATAAAATCTTAAATAAATGAATGAATGAATGAATAAATAAATAAAATAGCACTCCCTATTTAAATGTTTTCTACGTGTACTCCACATGACAGATATGCATGTCCTGTGTGACCTATCAGATAAAGAGCTTCCAGGGATCGGGGTATGGCACACAGGGTCTGCACCAGGCCATTGCTGTTTCCACTATAGCAACCTGGAAAAAGGGGAGAGTGACATGAAAATCAAGAGTCTGGAAGCTATCCTGGAAAAAGAAGTTACAATTAACAGTTCTTTCTACCCTGCTTTTGACCACAAAAAAGTGTATACACTTTCTCAACAGCCAAAAGAAGAAACTAAAAACAAGGTCCATGGAATGAGCCTGCTCAGAACACAGTGCTTCTTGGGCCTGTTCCAACTGGAATGATCAATCATACCTGGGTACATCAAACAATTAAACCAGAAACTCCACTTTGTATGCTGGAGATTTATAGCACAGGAATAGAGCATATTGCCCAAGAAAAAATACAACCAGAACTAAGCAGGGACATACAATAATGCTATGTTCCTTCTTCAACACACTTTACAGTATCACTCAGACAAAAAAGTCCTTTCCAATGACATTGACAGAAGTGCAGTATGCTTCAACCATGTAAAGGCATCCTGAAATTATGAACAGGGAAGAGGAGCCAGGCAGGGCTTTTGAAGTACTGAGAAAACCTCAACTCAATAAGAAGAGAAGTGTCACTTAAAAAGCACTTAATTTCTCTGAAGTACTATCTTAACAAGTATCAGTTTGATGGGTTATTCTGAACTACTTTTCTATAGTTCTACAGAAAGGAGATGCCCCTCAGCAGTCTTAAGAGGTACATACATGCAAGAGAGGTTCTTAATTCCCCATAGCAGCATTTCAAAGAAGCCAAAGGCTTACCACTCTGAGCTGGAGGCTTCCTGGTATAGCTCTCAGTCTGAAAAATGAGTGTCCCCAGAAGACTAATAAGTCAACATCCTATACCATCACTCTGCTTTCACCAAAAATAGGACAAGCTAAAACGGGTTTCGAATGCAGCAGGATTAGTGTGGTGAAAAAACTTTCTTGTTAGGGATAGAAGATAAAGAAAGTAAATGCCTGGGGTAGGAAGCGGGGCATTCGAGTTATTGGGGAAGGAGAGATTCTGTCTTGCAACAAATTGTGAAATATTTCGTGAACATTTTTTTTTAAGAGAGAGAGAGTGTGTGCGTGAGCAGGGGATGGGGGGTGGGAGGAGGGGAAGAGCAGAGAGGGATCTTAAGCAGGTCCAGGCTCAGCACAGAGTGCAGTACAGGGCTAGATCTCATGACCCTGAGATCATGATCAGAGCTGAAATCAAGAGTCAGACGCTTAACCCACTGAGCCACCCAGGCACCCCTTCTGCCAACATTTTTGCCTGGATTCTGCACACTCCATTTCTAAATACACACAAGCAAATTACATTTTACATAAATGTGCATATCCTTTAGATTTGAAAAAGACTTAAAAATAAGCATTCTATGTGTTTAAAATGATTCTCACATTGACATTTCTCTCTACCCTAAAAACATCTACTGCTGCAAAACACAGTACTCTAGAGCTGTTTAACAAAGGAAACCATCAATCTGGTAATTGTTTGGATAATGTCCTCTATGTAGGCAGGAGATAAACTGAATATCCTCAAAAGATTCCTCAATTCTTTGAGTCCAAGAAGAGCCAACAAACGATCTGCTATTGAGCTAAACTCCTGTTTCAATGTGACTTTCGTCCCTTTATCACCAAAACTGAAGAGTTCCTGGAACAGCGGGTACTCCAGCGAACGTCTGCTGAAGTCAGTCATCTGACATATTTCGACTCGAAGCACAAAGAGAAGACTCGTGGGAACCAAGCACTCTAGAAAGGGGCCCCACTCCCTGTGTTATGAGAGTATAGGACTGGTCTTCAGACATTATTCTCATGGTCTTACAAGAACTGCAGGGAGATGCCAAATTTCTTCAAGTTATGGATTATAACATCCAGCTGATCTTTGCTGAATGGGCTGCTGAGGTCAGTGAACACTTCAATATGCCTCTTCTCAAACTTCTTTCCTCTAAAAGAGAGTTATCACAGTTAGAAATCATTCTCTGAATTATTGCCCACAAACTCAAAAATACCTGGTCACTGAGCAGAAAGAGGCTAAGAAATGAATCTAGTTAACAAATCTAGATAGTTAACAAAACAGATAGTTAACAAATATGATTACATTCTAGAATCCCATGTATCACTGATGCTCAGTTAAGTTCCTACTAACATATAATCAAATATCTACAATCTATAAAACATATAATCAAAATTTTTGAGCATTATGGAAATATTAAATCCCTGATCTTCCAACTCTAACTTCAGTTAATGATGTGGTCACTGTGATTAGAAAGGATCCCTTTTCAACCTCCACTTAGGCAAAATGTAAACAAGGAACTCTCCCAGTGACTACAACATCAGCCTTGCAAGGGTTCACTTTCCAAATACCCTGGTCTGATTCCACTCACAGGGCTATAGTGGCAGGATTTTACACAAATATACAGAGAAATGATAATACAAATTTAGGCAAATTTTGTGCAAATGTTCTTCCTAACAGTCAAGGGGTGGGTGGGTGTGTATATATTCAAAGACCCACATTTTAAAGGTACAGCAATTAAATAAGTAATGAATTAGGAAGCTGTGGCCAGAGCTATGCATTTAATTTTTTAATTTTTTAAAAAATTTTTAAGTTTTTATTTTAATTCCAGTTAGTTAACATATGGTGTTATATTAGTTTCATGTATTTAATTTCAGTAAGATTAGGAACAATACAACTTAACATTTTTTCAAGTTCCTGGTAATTAACTTAAGTCAAATAGGAAGGAACTTGAAATAAGCCAAACATTTATTTCTCCCAGCGAAATTCCCATCAACTATAGCCCTTTCTCTTTTTTTTTTTTTTAAAAAAAACAAAAATGTATTGTCTCATGGTTTAGCCCTTTCTCTTTTTAAGCTCAAAAAAAGAAAGGGCAAACTGGACCACTGAATTCTATCAAATGTTTCCTTAGCCACACAAACATGCGGCTCGATTACAATGAATCACACTATGCACAGAATACTACGCACAGAATACATCAACATGCAATTTTTGCTGAGAGGCTCATTTCCATCTCTCCTCAGGTGAGACTTACACAGTTTCTTGTTGAATCACATCCATGCATACAATGAGTGCATCCAGGACTCGGCTAGTTAAGGGCAGAAGATACTACTAAATAGTCCCTTTATCCCAAGAACATGCAACTTTTTTCCAGTGAGGTCCACAGGGCTTGCAACTGTGGACTCTGGGCTGACTCTGTGATGATTTAAAAGTACTTGCCAAATTACCTTCTTCCAAAGTTTATCTCACTAACATATACTCACATATGCTATATATCAAAGTATATATCAAAGGATAAATAAAATAAACTCAAAGACAATCTAACATATTCCCATTCATTGAGACAAAAATTATGATGCCATTTTACATATCTGGAATCCATTTTTGGTGATTATAGTCTATTCTTAAAGATGAAGTGGGTTAAAATTTAGCATTTGCAACTCAGCACAGCAGCACCTCCCAGTGATCAGGGATACCATTACTGCTTAGAAAAGTAAGAGTAACCCCTTAAAATCATAGCATCTGTGGAAGAAATGAGAAATCTCAGTTTAGATGTCACTCTGATTTTTGGCACAAAAATACCCTCCGTCCAGGAAAGCATTGAGAATACTAGTGCTATATTCTACTAATATCTTCTCTATCCAAACATTTCTAACCATCACGACCACCAATCCCTCTGCACATATCAATACACAAATATACTCACTAGTATCTTCCCCTTATGGTGCCTCCCAACCCCTCAGTATCACTAGTACAGAAAAAGGGCTAGTGACTGGAGGGCCCAATCCAAACTAATTAATTTCACATTAAATCCTAACATATACCACCTCAATGTCCCCAGAGCCAAAAACATCCATATACTCAGAGCTGGGACTCTAGGAAGCCTCACCAAACTAGATTATGATTCCCCAGATTAAAGGAAATTTCTTAAAGAGTCTTCTCTGGCTGAAAAAGGATACAGTCAGCTTGTTGAGAACCTGGTTGGATTTTTCTTTCAATGTCCTCCAGCAAGTCAAAATCTGGTAGCATCAGGTGTCTGTGCACTGTGATGTTCTGATACTGATCCTTACCAGCAAGGGCATTCTCAGTGCCATCTGTACCAAAAAGGACTAATGCAATTTCATCCCTGCTCTCAGCAAACACCTAGAGAAGAACGTTAAAAGGTTAAGAATCACTGAGTACCACCCGGAAGCCATTAGATACCTAACCTTCAGGGAGTAAGACAACCATACCTCCCTATGGCATGTCCCTGGGGCCACCGTCAACAACAGAACACTGGGCTGGATGGCCCACAGGACAATGACAGACAATTCCTAGCCTCTAAGACTTTCACTGAGTATAGGTCCTATCATTCATTTCAACAGAATTTAGGGGTAGGGGAGTGGAGAGTGGTAACTGCTCTTGATGACTTCCAGACAAATCAGACTAATTCTCAATGAAAACTAATTATGGATAATTTGAAATTATTTTAGTCTCTCTTTCTGGAATGACTATTCAAGGTTTCAATTTTCCAGAGGATTAGAAAAATAATTGCTGGTTCATGTCCTGTATCCCAGCAATTTCACTTACATGTACATATACCGTAGAGAAATTCTTGCACATGTACTCAAAAAGACAAGGGCAAGAACATTCACTTCAAGAGAGTTCACTTGGACACTGTTCGTAACAGGAGAGAAGTGGAAACTAACTACCCATCCACAAAATGCAAAAACACACTACAGAACAAAATACTACACCTCAATAAAAAATGAATAAATCTGTGCATGCTTATCAGTATGAATAAATCTTAAAAACATAAGGTTGAGAAAAAATAAGTTGCAGAATTATATGTACCATATAAAAACATTACATACATTTTTGAAAGCTTCATACAATACTAAATTATTTACGAATACACTTACGTCCAGAAGTATAAAATATGCATGGTAATGACTGAAAATTCTGGAAAAGAGGAAAGGAGAGAATTGGGAAGACATATATAGGGGGCTTCAAGTTTATCTGTAATTATGTGTGTGTGTATGTGTGTGTGTTTTAGATTTTATATATTTGAGAGAAAGTGAATGAGAGAGAGAGTGTGTGGACGCACGAGCAGAGGGAAGGGCAGAGGGAGAAGTAGACTCCCCACTGAGCAGGGAGCCCAACATGGGGCTTGATCCCAGAACCCCAGGATCGTGACCTAAGCCGAAGGCAGATGCTTAACCGACTGAGCCACCCAGGTGCCCTGAAACATTTCATAAGAAAATATAAAAACAAAAAACGGTATCTGACACAAAAGGCGGTCCTTTTCCCACCGACTTAACCTAAGCCTTTTCCATCAGTGGGAAGAATGCTGCAAGGGGAAAGGATGGAATTCTGTAATTCTTTATTGTTGTTTGGTCTGTTAAATTCCCAGTGTGCTAATAATTCCAGATACAATTCCCAGCTGCACATGGGGAGAAAAAATTCTAGCTGTTGAGGTTCAAACATGTCCAGCACACTATGGGGCAGCCCAGCTAGAATTCTATCTGTGTCCTGGATAAGACTTCATCTTAAGGCAAGGTAATCTTGCTCAACAATAAAACCTCAGCCAGGAGAGGGAAGGAAATTTTGAATGCAGCATGAGACTGACACCAGGTGCTGTCTCCTAGCCTTCCAGATTCAGACTCCCAAGGAAGAGGCAAAGCCAAAAAGAAAACTGGAAGCACAGCTTCTCTTAAAAAAAAACAAAAACAAACTAGGGGCGTCTGGTTGGCTCAGTCAGTAGAGCACGCAACTCTCCATCCCGAGGTCATGAGTTCAAACCCCACATTGAGCAAGGAGCCTACTTAAAAAAAATAAATAAATAATAAAATCAAAAATCAAAAATCTATACATTTAGGCATAGCAGCATTACTTAAATACAAATAACACAAATTACTATAACTGGGAATGGGGTTAGAGGCATTCTCTTGACACATCAAGGACTCCAGGTCATTAGAATTTGTTAACATCTAGGATGATGGGGGGATGTCACAGTGCCTAGTGAAGAGGGCAGCACCCAGAAGAAACAATGGAGGTGTCCAGGAGGGGCAGCAGCTGCCAATGAATGAGGCAGAAGTTCATGGGCTTAGGAAAAGTAGCAGTCATACCAAGTAGAAGGGACAGAAATCAACAGGGGAGTCTTATTCACCCCCACCTCCCATTCCTGCCCCATGAATGTGAGCTGGTCTTAGTGACCTGCTTGGCTCCTAAGAGCAGAAATGACTTTCTGGGATTTCTAAAGCTAGGTCATAAAAAGCCACATGCAGGTCTCTTAGAATACCCACTCTTAGAACCTTCCTTCTTAGAACTAGCTGCCCTCCTGTAAGAATCCCAAGCTACATAGAAAGACCACATGTAAGGGTTCTGATGGACAGCCCCAACTGAGCTCACAGCCACCAGAAGACTTAACTTCTAGCCATGGGGGTGAGCCATCTTAGACGTCCGACTCAGTTTAGCCTTCAAGTGATTCAGCCCAGCCAACATCTGTGTGCCCCTGCACAAGCGACCACAAGAAGCCCAACTGAGCTACCCAGTCATCCCCTAAGACCAGGAGAGATGATTTAAAAAAAAAAAAAAGTGTACTTTAAGACATTAAGTTTTGGGATAATATGTTATCAGCAAAGGTAACTGGAATAGGCACAAAGTAGTTGAAGGACTTGTTTAAGATTACAAGGTTAGTAAAAGTCATGACAGAGCAAAGATTCAAACCCAGGCCACCTGGCTCTAGAGACTGTATTTGTAAACATTTTTACATTGCCTTGTTTCTGATAAAAACTATAATTTCTACTGGAGGGGCCAAAACAAAGGAAGAAAAAAACGTCAGGCTCTAGTGGTAGTTGGACTTGCACATAAGTATATGTTAAAAAACTCCTCAGATTCCCAAAAATACCGAGGCTGGAGGCGCCTGGGTGGCTCAGTTCATTAAGCACCTGACTCTTGATTTTGATTCAGGTCATGATCTCAGGGTCCTGGGATCGAGCCCCCATGTTGGGCTCCATGCTCAGCATGGAGTTGGCTTGGGATTCTCTCTTTCCCTTTCCCACTGCCCCTGCCCCCGCTCATGTACTCTATCTCTCTCTAACAAAAATTAAAAAAAAATAAAGTACCAAAAATACTGAGGCTGGACATCATAAGCAGGCTGGTATCTTGCATTACTAAGTGGAGACAACAAGCAGTTAAAACAAGAGTTATAAGCTCAAGACCAGTCTGAAACTTACCTGTCGCTGCACAAACATGGTCATCACCTTCTTTGCTAGCTCAAATGGGGATTCTTCACCAGGAAGGGAGTTACTCATGGCAGAGCCCACATCCATACACAGTACAACAGCTGCCTAGAAATAATGTCCCAAAGAGTGAGAAAATGTTAATAATGGTCATAAAAAAAGAAAACAGGTATGGCCTATGTTTATTTCACCCACAGAACCCATACTCTAGAGGACTTAGGGAATGCAGGACATTCCCTAAGAGGGAGGGGGAGTGTTCTACTTAGAGAATGTATATAAGACATATAAATGTTTACTACAGAGAAACTTTAAATAGTCCTCATATTTTCTGAAAGATAGAAACCCAGGATAGGAGCATGCTCTAGGAAGCTGCTGTTCTTCGGCCTGAGCCCAAGAATAAACCCATGGGGAGCAAACCTGAAAACAATCTATAGGCCAGAGCTAAGTCCAGCGCAGCTGAGCCCAAAATACATCAAACAAACTGCAGTTGATTTGCAGAACCACAAGCACGAGAATAGATGCTTTTTTTGTAAGGCTCTGATTTGGGGGTAGCTTGTTATGAAGCGTTTTTGTGGCAACAGGTGACTGCTACAATCTATACATACTAAAACGATATATCCCAACAATTTGAATCAGTTCATGAACTGGGGATCTAAAATGAAGACTATCCAAATCTATCCTAGTAGGGGACAAAGACACATAAACAAATAATAACGGCACAATATCCCATGACAGACATGTGCCGGGGGCACTGAGAGAGTACATGGGAGGGGCATCTACCCAAGACTGGTGGAGGGGATGGTGGAGGGGATAAATGAGGGGTAAGGAGGCAGAAAAGGCTTCTGGATGTGATCTTTGAGTGAGTGTTAAAGAACAGGAGTCAAACATGTGAATAAGGGGAGTTACAGGTAGAGGAAACCACACAGACCCCTAGTCATTAGGTAGCAATCACATACGTAGGGACTAAGGAAATAGGGGAAACAAACTAAAATAAAAGTTACGTGCAAAGTTCTACGTTTGGCATCCAGAACTCAAAAGAATATGAGTTGGAGACCTGAACAAATAGCAACTCACGATTTCAGTGTGGATTATAATGTGTCACCAGTATGACATGGCTACAGCACTACCTTCCCCACACCTATCTCATGTTTTTAGGTTGTATCAACAGTGTATTGAATTCAAGGATGGAAAACAAAGATCTAATGGTGAAAAAAGACTAGGTTAGCGATCTGGAGATCGAGATCTAGTCCCACCTTTATTACCAATTAGCTCTGAGTCCTTGGGAATGTCACTTAACCTCGCTGTTAATTCCAGGCAGGAAGCAGTTGTTGGACTAGATGAGATCCAAGGTCTTTTCCAGGTCAATGTTCTTTGGCAGTGAGTCTCACCTGTGCTTTGTACTAATCAGACCACATGTGCACATCTTATGAGAAAGACTAATTACAAGAGAACATGAAATATGCAGGTTAGAGAAAGATCTACAGAACATGGGATGTGAGGAACAGCTGGGAAAAAAACTAGATATTTGAGGCAGATGAGAAGATTTAGGGGAACATGATAGTTCCTCCCAACTATTTGGCAGCTGTGTTATAAAAGGACTGGTCAGAGAGAGAGATGGAATGGATCAACAGATGGAAGTTACAGGAAGATTGGTCTGACTCCATACAAAGAAGAAAAATAACATTAAGAAAGGATCAATAAAAGAACTACTGTTCTTTTTTCTGAAGCAGTGATCTCCTGACCCTAGAAGTGTTTGAAAAATCTGGGGCACCTGGGTGGCTCAGTCAGTTAAGCATTCAACTCTTGGTCTTAGCTCAGGTCTTGATCTCAGCCTCATGAGTTCAAGCCCTACATTGGGCTCCACGCCGGGCATGGAGCCTACTTTAAAAAAAAAAAAAAGTGTTTGAAAAATCTGGATGCATTCCTATGAGAGAAATTACAGATGATTTCTAAATTTGGTTATATCTCAGGCAACACATGGAAAAGAAAGACTAAGTTTTTCCCTAGCTTACAAAGCATAGAACATAATGCACCAGTATTAAGAGATTTCTGGAGTAAAGATAGCACGTTTGAAAAAAGGGTGATAATAAACTACAAAATTCCTTTGAAAACAATAAAATTTACACCCCATAGTTTCAATGCCCTGAGCATAAGAATCTTAAAAAAATTAAGAGTCCCAAAATATGTCACTCTATTTATCTAATATAACAGAAACCAGTTTTAAAACTCCGTTAAACCAGAAAACTCTAAGTTAGAAAATAAAGTCTTTTGGGGCGCCTGGGTGGCTCAGTCGTTAAGCGTCTGCCTCCGGCTCAGGTCATGATCCCAGGGTCCTGGGATCGAGCTCCGCATGGGGCTCCCTGCTCCGCGGGAAGCCTGCTTCTCCCTCTCCCACTCCCCCTCCTTGTGTTCTCTCTCGCTGTGTCTCTCTCTGTCAGATAAATAAATAAAATCTTTAAAAAAAAAAAAAAAAGAAAAGAAAGTCTTTTTGGTCCAGAAAACTTTTTTTTTTTTTTAGTCCAGACAACTCTAAGTTAGAGGAATAAAAGTCCTTTACTAGGAATCAAGTATCCAAAAAATGGCATCAAAGGGTTTTACAATATAGGACTTCTTTCTGGAAGCAGAAGAATGGTCTGTGTGATACTTCAAGTTCCTATCCGGCAATAGTAAGAAAATCAGGAAAGGGAAACTGAGCAGCGTAGCAACTCTTCATTTACACAAGGAAACAATACAGGTTGTTAGAATTTTGCTGCAAGTCCACCTGCCATAAACAGCTGCTCCATTAGAGCTGCAACGTTTTCAGCAGCTGACAGAGGAGGAACAAAAAAGGTAAGTGGCATCAAATGTTCATAATCGCTTTAATCAACATTCCCCAGTGGGGAGTTGTGGGGACGAGGGATCAGTTGCTCAAACTCCTATCTTGCTTATCTGTATACCAGATGCCTACTAAAGGGCCTAGCCTTTGGATGTCTGGATGAACAAATAATTCTCTGGAACACACCTCTCTCTAGTGATCATTCAGAGACAACCACCACTCTCTGCCTGTATTGAAAAAACCATTTTAAAAATTCATCATATTGGGGCACCTGGGTGGCTCAGTCGTTAAGCGTCTGCCTTCGGCTCAGGTCATGATCCCAGGGTCCTGGGATCGAGCCCCACATCGGGCTCCCTGCTCGGCGGGAAGCCTGCTTCTCTCTCTCCCACTCCCCCTGCTTGTGTTCCCTCTCTCACTGTCTCTCTCTGTCAAATAAATAAATAAAATCTTTAAAAAAAAAAAAATTCATCATATTGTCTATTATTAATCTGGGACACTGAGGTTCCTAGCAACACAGATGACTCTGAAACCAGGCAGCCTGGGTTCAAATCTGAATTCCACCTCTTAGGGACTGGGTAACCTTGGGATAATCATTTCACTTTCTTTATGCCTCAGTTTTCTCAACTGTAAACTGAGGATAATAATTCTCACCTCATGGGCTTGTTGTGAAGATTATTATCTTCATTCCACCATGAGATAAGAATGAAGCGTTTAGATCAGCGCCTCACAGAGTAAGATTTCGATAAATGTGAAATGTTAGATTATGATGGGGTTAATATGACGCTTTACATTTTAAGATACATATTTTACTGACGGTCCCTCTCTGAAGTTTTACAAATCTATGGGTAGGTGTTTATCAAGGCGAAATTTCATTCTCCTATAGACTGTAAAAAGCCAGGCTCAAAAGCAATGGAGGAGGTGAAGGAAGTAAGGGAAGAGAAGAGTGGACTAGGGTAATAAGAGGCAGGCGTAGTGGGGAGAGTGGTGGGGTGAGGAGATGAAGAGGAAGTGAGAGGATGGGAGTGCTGAGGAGGCGGAGTGAAATGGGGAGTGGGCGAGGCTCAAATTCAGGTATTCGGACTCCAGATCCCCAGCGGGTCTCTGCGCATCCCTCGGGCCGGCCCTCGGGAACCAGCCCTGGCCCGCCGTGATCCCATGATTCCTGATCCAGAACCGCACTCTCCGGATTCCCTGCACCCGCAAGGCCCAAACCCACGCTCCCTCTACCTTATTCCCGGACCGCGCCATGTTGCCGGTGCGCGGGTGCCACGGCAGCCTCTTCCGGGCGGGAACCCCGAGCGCCGCTAGGAAGGTCCGGGGGAGTCGGAGCCAGAGCGTCGTAAAAAGAGCCGCTTCCCACGGAGCCTGGAAGAGGCGGGGACGCTGTGCGCTGACGCTCTGAGCATGCGCAGCGCCTGCGTCCCGCCCTGGGAAGGGGTTTGTGGACGCTGAATTGCTCGGGTCTCTAGAACTGGATTCGGAGGAATGACTTCACGGAAAGCTTCATTTCCATTTCCTGGTGTTGAGAGTCACTCCTGCCGCGTTTTGTGTCAGAGTTGTGGACTTCGATTTCCTTGAGTATGAATATGAATCTAGAAAGTCACGTAACTTCTCTAAAATCCTGTTTCTTTCAAAAGGGGGAGATAATGAAAGGCTTCACAGATGCGATGGCATTGGAACCAACTGCTGAAAGAACAGTTTTAAAGGCAGTGGATAGTGAGATTGATTCCTCCCTTTGCAGAGGAATGAGACATGCACAGGCCAGGAGGCATAAAACAACACCTGCTAAGGATCTCCCGATAGTTTGAAGTGTCGCTAGTTGGGAAGGAAGGAGGTGAGATTTAATTTGGAAAGCCAATCTAGGGAGATGTTCTAGAGGTGGGGGCTATCAATCAAAATGCCTGACATGCTCACAGTTGTAGAAAGTGGTTGGGGTTTTTGAATGTAGGTAGGTGAGATCCAGAGCCCACGTCCAAGAAAGAATTCTTGAGAGGTCTTTGGTGCAAAAACGTGGATTTATTAAAGCATAGGGACAGGACCTGTGGGCAGAAAGCTGCACTGGGATTGTGACAGGTGACTGATTATATATACCTTCAAGTTGGGAGGGGATTAGGGGTCGCATAAGTCTCTAAGGAATTTTGGAAGCAAGGTTTCCAGGACCTTGAGAGGGCTAGCTATTGTTAGGAAAAGGTCATTTATTAGTGTTTAGTAAACCCTCAGGCCTGAGACCCTTCAGATGTGTATCGGTGCTTGGGGGATGATAGCAAACATGTATCTTGGGGGGGGGGTAGAGATAAAGGAGGTTTCCAAAGGAATTTTTATATGTTAAAGTAGACTCACAGGATCATGGGGGGTTGGGCTAAGATTGCCTTTTGCCCCTAGCAAAGTATTAACACAGAGGGGTACCTGGGTGGTTCAGTCGGCTAAGGGTCTGCCTTCTACTCAGGTCATGATCCCAGGGTCCTGGGATCAAACCCCTCAGCGGACTCCCTGCTCAGTGGGGAGTCTGCTTCTCCCTCTGCCCCTCCCCCCACTCATGCTCATGTGCTGTCTCTCTCTCTGAAATAAATAAAATCTTAAAAAAAAAAAGTATTAACATTGAGGCAGCTGAGTTCCTAGGGGAATATCACTCTGCCTGTTTCAAGGACTTGTTAATGGACTGTTAAGTAGTAAGGAAATTTAATTTTTCTTTTGCCTTTGTTTCCCACATCACCCACCACCCCTTTTCAAAAGAAACTGCCCAGCTTTCTTTGAAGGAGGCAGGCCCAAGCCTAACCTTGCCCAGAAATGGCTGTTTTCTATACCAAATGGCTGACAAGCTGAGAGGTGATTGGACAAAGGGTCCTGCAATCTGCAAAATAGCTGCAAACCTCTGTCCAAACCAGGAAATCAAATCCAACCAGATACTCTCCCTCTTGAAAATGGACCCAGAAAAAGCAGAAACTAAAGCTGGAAAGATAAGGATGCCATGAGGAAGGAGGGGTCTCAAGGAAGCCAATGTTATAAGTGCCCTGAAGCCATAGAGTCAGGCATTTTCAGAGTATGCTCATAGAGCCTAGGAGGTTCTTCGTGATGAGGAGGAGAACATGCAAAAGAAATGTAGATAAAATTAAATTTCCTTACGGTTTGCAGCCCATTGACAAATACTAGAGACAGGCAGTGACATTGCCCAAGGAACTCACAACTGCCTTTATGTTAATGCTTTGCTAGGTAAAAAGGAACCTTAGCTTGATAGCCAGCCCTCCAAGATCCTGCAAGTCTTCTTTAACATATGAAAAATCCCTTTTAGAAACTTCCTTTGTCTTTACCCTTCCCCTCAACTTAAAAGTATATAGTCAATAGCTCCTCACAATCCCAGGGCAGCCCTTTCTGCCCACAGGTACTTTCCCCAGGGTTTAATAAAAACAGCATCTTGGGGTGCCTGGGTGGCTCAGTTGGTTAAGCATCTGCATTCAGGTCAGGTCGTGATGCCAGAGTCCTGGGATCAAGCCCCGTGTTGGGCTCCCTGCTTAGGGAGGAGTCTGCTTCTCCCTCTCCCTCTGTCTGCTGCTCGCCCTGCTTGTGCTCTGTCAAATAAATAAGTAAAATATTAAAAGAAAAAAAGAAATTAAAAAAATATTTTTGGGGGGGCAGGGGAGGAAGTGGGGGAGGGGCAGAGAGAGAGGAAGAGAATCTTTTTTTTTTTTTTTTAAAGATTTTATTTATTTGACAGAGAGAGACACAGTGAGAGAGGGAACACAAGCAGGGGGAGTGGGAGAGGGAGAAGCAGGCTCCCTGCTGAGCAGGGAGCCCGATGCGGGGCTCGATCCCAGGACCCTGTGATCATGACCTGAGCCGAAGGCAGACGCTCAACGACTGAGCCACCCAGGCGCCCCGAGAGGAAGAGAATCTTAAGCAGGCTCCATGCCTAGCACAGAGCCCAACATGGGGCTTGATCTCACCACCCTGAGATCATGACCTGAACTGAAATCAAGAGTCGGACACTTAACCGACTGAGCCACCCAGGCACCCCTAAAAACACCTTTTTGTCCCCAAAATATCTGAAGAACTCTTTCTTGACCATTCACTCCTGGCCCACATCACATCACTTCAAGCTTTCAAGTCCAAGGAGTTCTTTTAAAACTCAAATATTATTTTTTTAAAATTCTCTCTATAAAATGTAAGAGAGAATTAGTAGTAATTCACTCTAGTGAAGGAAATTTGTATGTTTCATGTTGATGATAAAAAACCTCTCCAAAGGCCTGATATACAAGGGAAGCCATTTCAGATTTCTAAGTCAGTATGACTGTCATGTAGTTTTTGAACTTACATAGGTGAAGTCCGGAGCCGATGGCCAACAAAGAATTCTTGAGATGTCTTGGGTGCAAAAAAAGGTGATTTTATTAAAACATCAGACAGGACCCTTGGGCAGAAAGAGCTGCTGCACCAGGGTTGTGAGGGGTAACTGATTATATACTTGGGAGTTGGGGGACATAAGGAAAAAGGAGGTTTTCAAAAGAACTTTGAGATGTTAAAGAAGACCTACAAGATATTGGAGGCTTTGCCATTGTCAAATTAAGGTTGTTCTTCCCTCTAGTAAAGCATTAATAGTAAGACAGTTGGGAGCTTCCTGGAGGAACGTTATACTCTGCCTATCACAAGTCCTTGTCCATGGGCTGCAGGTTATAAGGAAATTTAATTTTATTTACATTTCCTTCTACCTTTGTTTCCCACATCACTATGGATGGGTGGGTGATGTTAGGGCTCCAGGAAATTGAATCTATGGGTCTCTGGAAGTTAGGCTATGGATAAGAATACTTTTTTCTTGTAAATTACTAAGACATTTGTGAACTAAGGGAGACTCATGTCCTGTTAGACTGTGATCTCTATCAGTTAGCCATTTGTTTTTCCTTCCCTTAGCTTTAGGGCAGCCAGGAGTGCCCGAGGAATGCCACACACAACCCACCTGGAAGTGGGGGGGAGGGGAGGTTGTGGGGTGTCAGCTTGTGCTTTGTCCTCAGCTTGCCTTCTGCTCCCTTGTCAATTGTAATAACCTTTGTTCAGACCCAAAGCCTTATTTATGGGCCATCACACATGCATTGTACATCTGCTTTGTGAATGACAAAAATTATCTTGTCCTTGAGTTATTGATCAACACTCCTATCCCTTTACAATAAAACTAGTGATACTTGCCCATATGCTAATCTATAATCTCAGTGAAAAAAGTACATAACCCTGTAAAAACTGTTCATTTTCCAGAGCACTTTCTTCCCTGTGAAGAGTGTGTTTCCCTGGCAGCTGTTCTAACTTGGGCTCGAATAAAACTCTTTCTTACTTTTAGAGATTCTGAAAGTTTTGTTCATTTTGTGTCAACCATATCAGTGTTTTTATCTTGTAGGTAGTTTCTATTTCTTTCTTTTTTTTTTTTTCCCCCTCTCTCCTTTATCTCTCTTCTCTCTCCCTCTCACCCACACCTCCTCCAGTACAGGTTTGTTTCCTGGGAGAAATAAAAGAGATTCTAGTACCTCTGCTTGTTTGCATCTCAGGGGGGAAGGGGGGAGGGCCAATGATGTTAACCACTAAGCTTTTGCAACACTGCAAAATGTAAGTCCTGGGTGGCCATCAAGAGCACAATGAAACTTTCAGGTCATCTAATCTTTAAAATTTAGAATCTTGTTTTATTGAATGAAAATCCTGGAGAATAAAGGTTTTATTCCCTTTTGTACCTTGAAGTGATAATGAAGGTGTTGCTCAATGTCAATAGACAAGATGGCTTAGGAATAGCAGTATCGTCATAGTGGATCAGATATGGTTTACCCAGCTCAGAGTATCATGGCTGCAAAGCCATCAGAAAGCACAGTCCTCCTTGATGCTCACCATAAATATTAGGTAACTATGAGCTAACAGAATGTTCATAGAGGGTACTAATTCTCTAGGTATTTGCTGACAGGAAAGATAAGATTTCTTTAGATCTCTTTGGTTAAGACCTCCTGCCTCTAGTCTAGGTTTTTACATAACTTACTAGAGCCCGTGTGAAATGATTTCAGTTTCTTCCACTAGGTTGTGAGCCTAACTAGGCTGAAGGCCATGTCCACTTCATCTCAGTATCCCTTGGGCCCCACCCTCACCCCATCCTCCTCCATTCCACCACGGCCACCATACCCTAGTCCTAATCATGATTATTTTTGGCCTTGGCCATCGGTTTCCCTAATCCCAGAAAAATGTGACAAATGTGGTTGCAACTTCCTCATGTAGGCTTAGGTAAATATGTGATCTGTGGAAAACAGTCCACCTAAATGGAATCCCCATAAATTAGTGGTACGTGGAAAGAGTCAAGACTTAAGGATCCATATTAAGATCATTATACATATATAGGACAGCCATCATGCTCA